TTTTCTTTTTCTCTTTCTCTTTTCTCTATGATAGGTTAACGATAAGGAGAAGCTCTGGAGCTGGTTAAATGACGCTTTTATCCCAGGTGTGTTTGCGGGCCGATGGTACAATGGCCAACAAGAGAATCAAACAGTGTACATTGGAGACAAGCACTCAATCCTTGTTGGGATGGCTCGAGCCCGCCAACTAAGAGTTAAACCGAGTAAGTTTTAGTCTCAAAGCTCAATGTTTTGAAATGGCAATAATCGCCACTTTAATTGTATCCGGAAGAAAGTGCACACAGAGGCTTAGATAATGGCTAATCCATGGCGGTCTTAAAGGAGTTACGTCTCGGTTTCTGCATCTTGACAAGTTTTGCCTAAATATTTTAAGTGCGTCGTTTGTAATCCGTTTTAATCTTCTCCATCCTTTACCATTGTTGTTCCTTTACTGTTTATTATTATCTCTTTGATGTTTCTCTACTTTAATAAGCTACTAGTATCCGGTTTCTTTCAATTTAAAGGTAATTTTGCATGTGGCCAAAATTACTTAAAATACCGTGATTGAGCTGCTTCAGTTACTATTCTGTGAGCTGAAGTCAGATAAACAATAGCCTCCATTTGGCGCGGAAATACCCTCGGATATTTGTCCTTGGACATTATCTGTTCCGAGAAGCGGACGGTTCTCTGAGAGTGTAGCTCGAGGAACACTGTGAGCTTTGAGGAATAGATAATGTCCACAGACAAATATCGGAGAATATTNCCCGCCAACTAAGAGTTAAACCGAGTAAGTTTTAGTCTCAAAGCTCAATGTTTTGCAATGGCAATAATCGCCACTTTAATTGTATCCGGAAGAAAGTGCGTTCAGAGGCTCAGATAATGGCTAATCCATGGCGGTCTTAAAGGAGTTACGTCTCGGTTTGCGTATCTTGACAAGTTTTGCCTAAATATTTTAAGTGCGTCCTTTGTAATCCGTTTTAATCTTTACCATCCTTTACCATCCTTGTTCCTTTACTGTTTATTATTATCTCTTTGGTGTTTCTCTACTTTAATAAGCTACTAGTATCCGGTTTCTTTCAATTTAAAGGTAATTTTGCATGTGGCCAAAATTACTTAAAATACCGTGATTGAGCTACTTCAGTCACTATTCTGTGAGCTGACGACAGATAAACAATAGCCTCCATTTGGCGCGGAAATACCCTCGGATATTTGTCCTTGGACATTATCTGTTCCGAGAAGCGAACGGTTCTCCGAGAGTGTAGCTTGAGGAACACTGTGAGCTTTGAGGAACAGATAATGTCCAGGGACAAATATCGGATAATGTTTTCTGGCCAAATAAAAGCTATTGTTTTTATTATCCTTTAAATATTTTTCGCAACACGCGCGGATTTAACAATTGGGGAATATCACTCGGATATTCCCCAGTTTTTACTGGGACGAGTATTCAGTCACTTGATCCGTTTAGACCAGTCGCGCGCGAGTGAAAATACTTCATGAATTATAAATATATCTTATTAGATGTTTTGGTGGGTAGTGTCGCTGTATATTTTTACAAGTTGTGCCGTATTTTGACGAGCCCGTAGGGCGAGTCAAAATACAAACAACGAGTAAAAATATAAGGCGATACTACACACCAAAACATCTAATAATAGAACTATTATTGAATTCGGTTTGTCGCGTTTACTATTGCTTTAACTAAAATTGTNTTTACGCCAACGGAAACTCGAGGAAACGTTAGCCCGGTCAAGCAGCAGGAAAAAAGCATCAGGAAATGCAAAGCAAAACAACTCGAAGAAAATTTCCTTCTTTGATCAAGGCAATAATATTATTGTATATCCGAAGCATCCAAGGAATGAGCATCGCTGCCATCTTAATAAGAAGGGAAAGAAAGTACGTTTCGCAGAGGATGTCACTAAGTCTCAACTAAGAAGATTACAGGCGACCGAGAAAGATCTCTTCCAACGCTTGGACAGTATAGTCCAAGCATATTCCAGAGAGGCCGAGCAGGAAGAGAAATTTGAGTTGATTGTGAATGATATGGGTGTTCATAACTCTTTGGATCCCATGTAAACGTTACAGCTTTTTCGAATGAGTCATTTGAATATCACGAGCGACCAGTTAGCATTCCCGACATCATTGAATGAATGAAAAAAAAATCTAACTGAGGCCATACTTAAATTTTCATTGTACATAATGTAACCGACTGAAAACAAATTAATTTCTTTAAGAAACAAACAAAGTATGCTCTGTTAAAAAAATGATTTGTGTTTCTACTAGTTTGTCCAGAGTATGCATTCTAACTTTTCCATTGTACTCGACCTCACTAAGCTTCAGTTTAGTGGGATCTTTGCAGGCATAACCACGTTTAAATAAATAATTAAATTGATCCTGGTACTGACTGAAAATAATGTAAAAACTTGACCAAATAACTGTGTAATTTCCAATCATGAGAGCATTTTAGCTAACGACTACGTTGCTGCCCTGTATTTCCAGCCTTATGGTTATTTTGAGCCAACGATACTTTTTAATTTTTCGCTTATTAGTTTAACTCATGTGTACATATTGAGTACATATAAAGTTGTTGTTATACTTGAACCACATTCTGTGACGAACTAAGATTTTGCCCAGTGGGCCACTAAAGCAGCCTTACGCGCAGTTTTGATTATCTTCCAAAGAAACATCCAAGCAACGCAAATGTGAACATTTTTTGTTTGTTTGAATCTTTCATTCACTTTTTGTTTTCTATTTAATCGATTATTTCTTTGCTTTGGCCATTTTGCTTTTTGTTTATTTTTCTTTCTATTGCAAGATAATAAGGCGAGTTTATGTTTCAACACGATGTGTCAGCCGAAACAGTGCCCCTTAAACTTGCAAGAGAAAACTCGGTCGATGTCCAGCCATCTTAACCGACCCACATTTGGCTTCAAAGGGAATGTTGTTGTATTCCTTGTTGTTGTTGTTGTTGTTGTTGTTGTTTGGCACTGACCGAACTAGTGTGCTTCAGGAAATTTTGTTAACATTTCCCTTAAAGACAAATAATTTTTTCAGGATCTTCTGAAAACAACGAAGCCTCCTAAGGATTATGCGCTGAACGTTTCTGAACTGTGATTTACATCACATTCATTTAACCGAGTGACTTGATTTTTATACGAACTCGCGCGATTGGATGATTCAACACGTTTTTCTTTTGGCGTACTTAATGAACTCTCGTTTATGCAGTAAACCAAGACATCTTTATGGCCATTTTCCGCGGCTAACATGAACACGGAATGCGCACAATCCGTAACAGCATCAATATCGGCGCTACGTTGTTCGAGAAGTCTCACAATATTAGCTTAACCATTTTGCGCGGTGTAATGTACAGGTGTCATTCCAGGCAGGTGTCATTACAGGCAGCTATGGTTCTGAAGTAGAAACAGAACGTTCTCAGTCCTGCCTGTCGCCGCAGCGTGATGAATTGGAAATCCGGCGGTTTTTCCAGTCGTATATGAATATCTGCTTGTAGTTCTTCAAACAGCAGCTCGAGTACCTCGCGCGAGTAACACCGCGCCGCACGATGCACACCATGTCGACCGTCGTTGTCAATATCATGAACACGTGCTCCCCTCCTCGCAAGAAATTCGAGAACCTCTCGCGTGTTACCTCGGCAAGCGTGGAGAAACGGCGTTTGTCCGGAGAAGTCCCTTGCATAAAGATCCACTTCATTGGACGGCAGAAACTTTATGACATCAACACTGTGATTCAGGCAGGCCCACATAAGTGGTGTTTTACCTCTTTCGTCTGTCTCACTGAAGAATCTTTGAACATCGACACAACTGCGTCGATTCTNTCACATACTCTTCTAAATCGGCCAGTGTAACATTTCTAAGTGCCAGTGTGTGCTCGATAGACTCCATCCTTCGTTCTTGCCTCCTGGCACTCTCCTGGTTGGTATCAAATTGTCGTTTAACGTTACCCATGTCACGCCTTGCCTCTTCTATTGAGCGATTACTCTCCACCAGTAACACCTCGTGATCAGCGGTCCTGTTTTCAAGGTTGGTAACCCTTCGTGTAAGATCTGGGTTTTGTGATCCACCACTGGAATCACCAGACACTTGGAAACTAGGGGCTCCACCTGGCAAATTCCCCGAGGCCACCTTTCTTTCCAGAGCGGTGATTCTTTCGCTGTGCTCTCTACATTTTTCGCGCAGATCCCTGGTTTCACCTGCTTGGGTTTGAACTTTAGCAAGAATATCTGCAATCACTCCGTCATAGTTTGTAAAGATGTGTGGATTTCTGGACACAGTTCTCGGATCGCGCATCAGAAGTGCTTCCACTTCTCTGCTCACTCGCAGGGCATGTTGTAGGATTAGAGTGGTGTGGTAAGTGTTCTCTTGCGCCAGATGTTCTTTCTTTTGGTCATGGCTGAGAACCTGCAAAAATAAAAACAGATTCCACCGCTCATTCAGTCATGAAAACAAATTAATAGACACAGAAACGGTAGCAGGCGAATCATAGAGGAGACCGCGTGGCCTAGAGATTGAGAGTGCTGGATTTGTGATCCAGAGGTCCCGAGTTAAAGTCCTCCTCCCTGCCACTAGATGAATTTGTGTTCGGTGGTCCCAGATTCAACTCCTCCAAACTTTGTAAATAGCCCTCTAGTAAGCCTCCCACCAGTTGGGATTTTTAACTAGTTTCTGTTCAAATTACAATATTTGTTTTCTTGTTTCACTGTCCTCAATTAGCACAGTAGTGCTAAACACTACGACACTTCAATAACTGTCTGAAGACCGATCAACTGTCTCGAGACCAAGTTGCCCAAAGGATGAGAAGTTTGATGCTGACCATGCAGCTAAAACTAGCTTAAAGATAAAATTAACGCTCCTGTAGCTTAGTCTGTCCAAAGAGATTTTTTTTCGTTTGGATTTCATTTTTCAGCAGGCGCACGAGCTACGCAAACGCCCGAGATCAAGTGCGGAGCGCGGAAGCGTTCGCGAATAGGGCGAAAGAAGAAAACACAGAAATGGAGAATTCAGTTTCTCAAAATTGCTTTCTCCCACCCCACGTGTACCCCTTGCGTCCTCGGGACAAAATACTGTAGATTGTTTGATCTGTACTTAGTCTTCTGTTTCTCTTAGGTTTATATCTTCCTTTATACAAATGTACACACATGTACTTTGCGAGGGCAAAAAAATAAAGGGCGTTCCCAATCCCTTCTCGTCCTTAGCCCTCGCTCCGTGTTCTTTTCCAGTTTCGTGACTTTACGAGAAAAATCACGTATTTGCGACAAGCAGTCTAGCCATTTCTTCAGAGTTTGGTTTTACTTTATATTTATTAAAACAAACAACACCTATACATGTACCTCAGTTTTTGGGCAGCCAATCTGTGAAAATGGGCATGGTCCCTGTACGCCATCACAGTCCCCTATAACAGGATCTTGATGTTGTAACAACTGAAAGACAAACAGAAAGGTGGCATGATTGTAAATTATTTCGAACTGAATTTGTAGCAACACACGACTTCCCATTTCTTAATTATAACAAATGCATCAAAATCGGGTGTCTGGAAAACCCGAATGGCGAATAGTGAATAGTCGCGAATAGCGAATAGCGAATAGTCCCGAAAAGTGCGAATAGTCTCGCATAGTGCGAATAGTGGCGAACAGTCGCGAAAAGTGGCGAATAGTGACGAATAGTCGTCAGTAGTCACCGCTTTAGATCTAATATCCTGCGTTAATTAACTATCCAAATAAGCTACAGAATTTCAGTGAATTTATTACCTTTTCTGCTGCGGACTCAGGCTAAGGCTGTCCATCGCCGACATTAAGAAAACAGAAAATACAAAGATAACCTAAGAAAGACGTATTTACGCTTTTGCAGCGGTTAAAACAGAAGAAATTACGTTTAGAAACACCTTTTGTCCTGATAAGCGTCTGTGCTTTTTAGCGGGAAAATCCCATCCTACGTTGCTGCGAGGTTGGCTGCGAGATACTAGGTACCCTATTTGCTACGATTTGTCAATATTCGCCACTATTCGCACAATTCGTACTATTCGCTGTTCGCTATTCGCGCCTATTCGCTATTCGCTATTCGGGTTTTCCAGACACCCAACAAAATCCTATCGGTGTGAAGTATAGATATTTTGAAACACTTGCACGTTAGAAAGGGATAAAACGGTTTTCAAGGATAAGAGATTGCACAGTTTCTCTATTCTCCAAAAATATTACCAATTTCAATATATCAAAATTCTTACTTTGTTGCAAAATAAAACAAAAAAGCACATATATTTCAATTGAATGCAATGTGCAGAGACTACTTTGTGCTGATGAGTGGGCTAACTTCATGTTGGCCTAGCTACGAAACAGAACTGTCTTAAATTCCATATGTACTCAAGATCCAGAAGATCTGAGTAGTCTCTCTACGCATTGCATTATATCAGCTCCTTTATTGTAGAGCACTATATTGGCTTCAGCAGTGATCATCACTTGAACTGTATTTTAATTAATGTTTGATTTCCCAAGGTCCCAGAGCCAAGTTAGAATTTATGTATTGTTAAAGTAATATTATTGGTTGGATGGAAGGAAAATGATCAAGTTCACCTACAACAATGAGAGAAATACCAAAAAACTCTCTCAACTGAAGGATCTCAGAAGTCAAAAATAAAATAATTGTAGATTGAAACTACAATCATGGACAAATGTCTTGGGACAAATTTGCACTTTTGGCACTTTTGCGCACACGCCAGACGCGAGCAAAACTTCACCTGCCTAACCTCTCCCCCCACCCCACATACAATGTTGAAAACTAGTACCTGCAGTTTCACCTAATTTTCAACATTGTATTGGGTGGGGTGGGGGGGGGGGGAACAGCAACATGTATGTAGCTGCTTGCAATGGAGGTTTCATCACAGAAACTAAACTGATTAAAATTTTGACAAAACCCCTATGGCTTTCAGACAAAGCCCTTTTCAGTGTCTGGCTCGTCTTTTTACTACTCTGAAACTCCAGTTGTAAGCAATCAATGAATAGTAACATAATTTACTAAATGTACATGAACCTGCATGTAAGAAACTAGGTTTTTTTCAAATTAGCCTCCATGTGATAGGTTCTTATAGAAATGGTGTTTACTGTGAAATTAGGCTACCTAGGTTCTTATTCAGGTTCTTAATCTTTGTTTAAAAAAACAACTTGTACCCAGGAGTGTGGCCCTTATTTTTGGCCTTATATTGAATCATTCACAGCACAGTATTGTGGTCTTAGAACACTGCCAGTATTCTGGCTAGTTTTTATTACCTTTTTTTTGTACCGCATGCGATGTACTGTATTACATTTGAAAAAAACTTGAAAACAAGAACCTGTAATGAAATTTTAGCCTAGAATGGTTCTTATGTGAAGGGTGCTTAACTGAAAAACCTTCGCCTAATAGGTTCTTAACTGAAGCTACCAACAGGACGTGACATTATCTCCAGCAAGCAATATAATTTAGAACGCACACTTTATTTACTGGCGATCAACAACTGTGGCTCTTTGTGGTTAAAACTGAAATAGACACGAACAGAACAAACACAAACAAAGCGAAAATGGCGCAAACTAAAACCCAAGAAAGTAACAGACTTACATTTGTAATGCGATGCTGGGCTATAACTGGCTGAGATGCCGCTGTGATAAGACAACAACTGCACTAGATGCTTCGATTTCACTACTGCACTCCGCTCCGCATTGCGAGAACTAAAAAAAAGCGCTGCTTACAGGCTATTTGAATAAATTACGTAACGATACAAGCGCCACATTCCAACACGTTGCACGATACAATACAAAATATACACTCTAATTAACCGAACGCATATTAACACCATTTTGAGGCGTTTCGATCTTACATTAACTTTTAGGTTATTATACTGTATGCAGGTTTTTACTGTACTACATACATGTAATTTTTACCTTTGCTCTTTGAATGTTATCTCTGTTGCACTTTTCACACACAACTGGATATTCTGGGCATTCTGTCTCACGGTGCAGCTGAAATTACATAGCATGTCAGTGGATTACTTTTAAAACAAAAGCTCAACTGAACATAAAGCTAACAACATGTTGTGATAGTCTTCACGGAAGGGTTAGTACACAGGATCTAAGGTGGGTTTACCAGTAATGTTAAGTTCTCAAATATAAGGCAACAGCTTAAGTTGCAAGTTAATGAAAGGAGAGCTACATAGACATTGTTTTGGGGGCTGTTTGAGAACTGAAGCAAAACAAGAGCTTGAGGATGATTATACATGTAGTTATTCACTGTGGCTTTTAATAACATGCGGACTCTAAAATTCAAAGCTCAACTGATAAATGTGTTTTTCGCTACTGTCAATCAAATGTTCGACAGCTCCTCCCAGCTTCCGACTACTGCCGAGCACTGTTTCATTGTCTGAACTGTGGTCAACAATAATATTTTGATTACCATGCACTCAGCAGTAGTTGGAAGCTAGGAGGAGCCGCCAAATATTTGATTGACAATAGCGAAACAGGCATTTGTCGGTTGAGCTTTGAATTTTAGAGTCTGCATGTTATTGAAAAGCACAGTAAGGACACTCAAACCATGAACAGTATGAAATCACAATTTCTAACCATTTTATTTGTTTTTGTTTTTTTCAAACTACAGAATGAAAGTTCCTCTTCTAATGTCTAAGCTTAGCATTTTCACAGTGTCAATTAAAACACTTAAATATACTATGTACCCTCATTCTATCATCACAAACTGCTCACAGTTGAGTGCTCTCACTGTAAAACCGTAAGCAGTAAAGATAAACTTTTTTTAATAGCTACAAAACTAACATTTAACTGTTTTTCACTGAAAATACGATTCACAGCTTGACAATTGCCACAGGATATGCAAAATATTACCAGTTCAGTTACAACGAGCACAGAAAGTCCTGTCCAATAGCCCAGGCTAGTGGATGTAATTTTCCACTTGGGCTAATGGATGTTGTCTGTCATAATTGCAAGTGGAATTTCTTGGGAAAATTATTCAGAATTACTGTAAGAGATGAACTTTTCCAGGGTTAGTGAGAAAACTTTCGGGCTTGTACAGTACATTATAGTTAGAGTTTGCCCAAAGGGTAAAGCCAAAAAATTGGTACATGCTGAGTTAATTGCTGCCCTGCAAGTCCCCCTCTTTGCTAATAAAAGTGAGTACATCTATTGCTGTTGTTGTCAAAGACGTAAAAGATTAACCAATTTATTTGTCCATGTGTATAATACTTTAAACTGTCCAGGTGTATTTTTGTTTCGTGATCTACAGCTGAAACCTGATCATATATCAGCATGTGTTTAAAAAATTCCTTAGTCACTGCTATGTCACCTGTGGTTGCAATTCTTCTTTTAGCAAACTCACCATGAGTGTCCACTACCACTCGAAACTCAAGTTATTTTAAAATGCATCAAGGTTTATACATGTAGTCATTGTGACCATTTAAACATCTCACGACTGGAATTAAAGTTATTCATAGCGAATATTTTACATGAAAAGAGGACTTAGTTCTATGCCACACATATCAAATGCTCCCAGTACTAGATTAGGGCTAACTATTCTTGCCTTGAGCAACCTTTGGGCACTGGTACATTGTATAATTTCAATTTCCAACAATGTTTAAAGTTGTCTTTGTCCTTCCTCCCACCCTACATGTACATGTAGCAACTTAATTCCCTAGGATTTAATGGGCAGTGGCTCTTTGATATTGGCATAAGATGTCTAAGGCTAGGGCCAAGGTGTTGAATCCTATAAAACTTTCTAGTATGTTAAAAACAAAGCACTACAGTATTGCTCAAAAACAAACTAGCAGAAGAAATTAAGAATTAATTAATTAATTCAAGAAAATTAAATGTTATCCTACCTTCATCTTGTTAAGATTGATTTGCCTTTTGCAGAATCCACAGGTTTCCAGCCTACACTTGCATTCCTTTTCTAAATGCTCAGTGAGATCAGCTTTTTTCACTTGCATGCCACACGCAGGATGTACACAAGGTATTTTAAGGAACGGACAGCTGTTCATGTGGTTCTGTGTTGAGACAAGAAATCATTGAGGTTTACAACTTGTAGCCACTGTAACCAACCACTATAATCAGATTAGTCATCTGTAACAGCAATGTATGAACTTTTTTGGCCCACTGTACTTATTGCCTTACACTGTAAAAACTAATTGTTCATGATTTTGGTTTGGTCTAGTATTACAACACAAGTAGCTCAACCACTGATAAATAGCTGTGGTCACACTACAGACTTAAACCTAGAGACATAGATTTAGGCCAAGGCAAAATCTACTCGAATTAAAGAGAGGTACATTTATCTCAGGTTTCATTTCCCCAAACAAACAAATAAATATTTTTTGGATCATGTGCACTAAAGACATCAGTGGTCAAGGGTCGATTGATATATCCTCGATTGACCTGCGATCAACACTTAATCCACATCTCGATTGACACTCAATCGATATCTTGATTGACATTCCATTGACACTCAATCAACAGTCAGTCGCTAGTCAGTTGAGTGTCGCCGGCTCTCATGCATCAATGAAAAATTAGTCAAATGTCGACCAAGATGTCAATCAAGTGTTGATCAACTGTCAACCGCGCTGTTGATGGAGTGTTAAGGAAGTGTCGACCAAGGGTGTATACAGGATCAATCAAGGGTCAATCTAGGGTATTGATCTAGGGTATGAATTGACACTCGTCCGTACATACCTTTAGTACACATCATGCCATTTTTTTGGTGTTGGTTCAGTCAATTCTTCACATTGTTAAAATGGCAATCAGGGCTGTCATTATGTTTTGGGTCACTTGTTGCCCTGTTCTCCACACCCATAGCAAACAACAGGCAATTTCACCCGTAACACCAAGGGAAAATCAAGCATACTCAGCCGTAGCAGGTGTTATGGCTTAAGGCCCTTAATGACAGCCATGACAATAGCAATCAAGTGATTTAGGTAAGCATTTCATTTCTTGGCAAGCCCAAAGAAGGAAACAAGCCATTTTACACAAATTTCACATATTTTACTAACTCTGTACAAAGTCCCAATTGTACATTTGCTTGGTTCTTCCACAGCCAAAAAGTACTGCTTTGAAAATTTGCCCATTCCAAAAATTTAAACATGACAGAAAAAAAAACTTCAAGGGAATGTTTCAAAGGAAACATAATATTACTAATTTGCTTTCACTGATATTATCAAACTCAAAATTAATAATAGATGTACTTAAGTATACACTTAATTATAAGCTGTGGGAAGTTGCTGAGTTGGTTGCACTGCAAGTACTGGAGAGTTGGCGGCAGACAGTGGCAAGATCCCAGTTTAATTTCTAAGCAGATTTGCTCAGACACTGATGGTTTCATCAGCTCTTTGTGGTTGACAACTGGAGCTTCAAGTAAAGGTGATTTCTCACCACTGAGAGGGGCATATGATGCCAGACCCAAGTCTAAGTCTGTGCTCACATGGCAATGAGTACTTTGTGACTGGCAGACCTTGTCTCAGCAGTCATGATACGGTTACATGTAAAGGTGAACGATATATTAGAAAATACTGTCTAGCATTATACTTCGTGATGACACAAACATGATTCCCAAAGATTATGGAAATGGGGATCTAAATTTGGCCTTGCTGTCTTGCGACATGTTATGATATACTACAAGCAGCCATACAATGATACAGTTAAAACAAGAACTGTGATAGCAATATAACATTTCATTTGAAAATGTTAATTCATGTTACATGTACACCTGTACCTTCATTGTATCACAAGTTGTAATTTAGCCATTTACCTCCAAGTGTCTCACTTCTCCTTTCCATTTGCAACCATCATCCATGAATGTGCAGTGGACAACAAAGGATTGTACTTCACGACGCATGAAGTTATCAGGAAAAACCTGAAGAGAAATGGACAATAAACCCTTAGAGAAGATGCCAAATGGGCAATTCCAGAAAATATCCATAACTATACCATGTACGGCTTTTAGATTTCTAAGGGCACGGGGTGTGGTTCTGTTTAGTGTAGATGGTTTGCGTATCTTTGGTATTGGATGTACAATGCACTCTGGTTCCAGCACTAAACAGAGTTTCAATCTATTCTATTGGTATGTCACAAATGAGTGTCTTTTTACATATGACATATCTCAAAAACGAAGCAAAACCCAGTGGAAAATAATACAGGACATTGTTTCAACACACCTAAACAAAACCGCACACAAAATTTGGAGTGTTTTTGACAAAGGTCACTCTCAACCAAAAATACTAAATGCCCTTTTTCCATGAAGCCTTTCAAATACATGTTTATGGTAAATATTTTTACTACATGAATGCTTGCTACACCATTTTACCCTACTAATTATAAACTCAAAGGAATGTCAAACTTCATTTGGAAGAAATTCTGTCTGGTCCTGTAAACAGGTCATTTTGGAGGATCCATTTCTGAAAAAATAAACACATGGGCTTAGAAATGATTGTGGGAGTTCAGACCTGGCAACCACTGATAAAGAGAAATTGGGAGGCCCAAGGAAAAAAATGGGGAGAACTTACAAAGACTACAAGGAAACTCTGCATGGAATAGAGGTCCAGTTAACAGTTAACTCAGTGAGCTGTCTTCAAAAAATGGTAATCACAAGCAAAAACAGGAGGACAAAAATTATAAAAAGTAAAGTAGAACCCTGTTTATACCCACCAATGGGCCATGAAAATTTATCTGTTTTAACAGGGTGGCTGTATTAACCAGCTGGGTTCAAATTTTATGACTGGTCTAAACTAAGTGACATGTTAAAAGATATTATATTACAATTACCTTTCTAAAGAACTGTTTTTTAGTATGAGTGTGTATGGAACGCCAGAACTGTCTTATGATACATTTTTTTATTACATTGGGTGGTTATATCATTATATTTAGTACTTATGTTATTATACTCATTATAAAGTCAAAAAGCAGATTGCGATCAAATGAGCATGTTTCAGAGAACAACACATTTTTTTGCTGCATACAATTGCATAAAAAAGGTCTGTTTTGAAAAACAGTGTCGGCTGCTGTTCTAAACCTTGTTAGTTCTTCACTGTTTGACCGACGTGACAGCAATAAACCTGAGAAGTTAAATATTTGTTTTTCACCGTTTGATCGACACGACAACATAAACCAGAGAAGATAAACATCTCGCCCCATTGTGGCCATAGAGCAATTCAGGTGATAACAATTGAGTTTTTAATTTCGAGGGGTCTGAGGTTTCAGGGTCTGAGTTTTCGTGACACCCATTTTTCCCGGCTTTCCCTAGACTACCTCCAAATTGTACGGCCCCTTGCGAAGACTGGTGACGATCATATCGAAGAAAGCACCGAATATAATGAAGTAAGCACCAAATATAATGAAGTAAGTACCGAATATAATGGCCTTTGCACCAGATATAAGGAAGAGAGCACCGAATATAATAGTGTTAGCACCCGTAAAAATGAGGAAAACACCAAACAAAGTTAGAACTGAATATAATGAAGAAAACACCGAATATATAAAGACAGCACCGAATATAACGAAAAAAGCACCTAATATAACGAAGAAAGCACCGAATATAATGAGGGAAGCACCGAATATAATGGAATAAGCACCGAATATAATGAAGACAGCACCACATATAAAGACATAAGCACCGAGTATAATGGAATAAGCACCGAATATAATGGAATAAGCACCGAGTATAATGAGTTAATCACCGAATATAATAACATAAATACTAAATATAATGACATAACCACCCAATATAATAGAAAAATGTATCATAAGACAGTTCTGGCATTCCATAAGTGTGGAATGCAAATATAATTTTAAAACAAATTGGAACTTGAATCAGTTCACAAAACACTAACAACAGAAAGATGAACATAACTGGTTTTAGTAGCCGTAAAAACAGGATAAAATGATAAAGGATTATACAGGTTGGGATTTCAAGAAAGTGGCCATATTACTGGGGTGGCCACATTAACTGGGTTTTTTTATTACAAAATGTATGGGCATTTTGCCAGGACAAAAAAAAAGTGGCTGTAATAACTAGGTGACTGTATTAGCAAGGTAAGCCAGGGTTCCACTATGATCGGGTGGAAAAGTACAATGTTCTCCTTTATTATTCTATCACTTTATGGCACTAGCATTCCCCATTAATTTTCCATTTTGATTCCGCAACTGAAGGTAACTATTTCATTTCAGAACTTTTCTCCAAAAACCATGAGATTGGAGTTGGGAGTCATGTCGTGAGGCCATGAGAAAAGCTAAGAAATTGTGAGACTAAAGGCAGAATTCATGTAATTAGGGGTAGACCACTTGACTTTTGAAGTGAGTGTTGGTGGGTAAATTTTTTTTCAGGACATGTGTATGATAATATTTTTTCTCACTAGCTATAACATACTTTTTTGACAAACTGAATGGCATGAATTATTTTTTCAGCAGTGGTCGTGTGCATGGTTCTTCTTTTGGTACAAGTGTACTTGCAGGATATTCTTTTTCAAATCCTCCCAAAAGTCAAATGAATACATGTACTCTCGTATAGTCTGGAGATGCCCAATGGCTGGATCAGAAAGAAATTTATTTAGAGATTAGAGTTAACCTTCTTTTAAAATCTTGTAGGGTTGACCATGTTACAAGAAAATGACACAAAAAAATACGACCAGAGGGTACACACCGCATCAAAATTTTAATGCATTGCACAACACTACTTACTGAAATAAATTAGCAAGACAACTACTGCAGTAGAAGTGTCCACAGCCAGTTTGCATCGCTTCTCTCAAAAGTAGACCACAGGAGTTACACATATACTTTGAACCAATTCTTTCCTGCTCGGAAATGGCTAAAAGATACCCAGGCATGATCAAACTGGAAGGCTCGATGGTTTAAGCTTTTCTCTACATCTACAAGGTGGTCAAAGGTGGTCCTTGAAGCTCCTACAGGCAATGAAATAATGTAGATGTTTGTAAGTTAGAACATATCTTTTTGTGCATCATTTCGTATTTGTGTGGTTTAGTTAACAAGTTGTACCTTGAACAAGCAAAATCGTTTTATGTGCAAAGTAAGCAACTTTTCATCCATTCTCGTCCTCCAGAGCCCACGATCCTTCTGGCCTGCGGCAGGGATCGAGAGCTCTGGGCTGGTCCAACACCGGAAGTCCGCGATTCACGGACTTCCCGTCAAATCTGACAAATCTGATTGGCTGAGAATACGAAATGAATACTCTGCGCATGTTCAGAAAATCGGGTCTGGCCAGAACTCTCGATCCCTGCCGCAGGCCAGAAGGATCCTGGGCTCTGGGAACGAGAATGCTTTTCATCTCGTAGCATTCTCGACCCCAGAGCTCTTCTCTTTTGCGCATGACGGACGGCGAGAAGAGATCGCGCGCGATCAAGAAAGCGAAGGGTCTGGGGTCGAGAATGATCTCGTAGCTCCGACATCTGTCCAACAGACTGCGCAAGCTCATTGACGCGCGTGGGGAAACTGGAAATGACAACATGACGCCATAGCAACGTATATCTAAAATGGCGGAAGCAGCGTTCGTGAACAAACGAAACGAAGTCTCTTACAATGGAAAAACATGTGGAAAACCTTTGGGTAGATAACCAGAGTGAAACCAGGTCAGACATTTCGTGCCTTTTTACATAAATTAAGAATGAGCGAGACCAGGTCAGCTCACTATATACGGTTTACACGTCTTTGCTTGCGGATAGTTTATTACTTCATACACCCCAGTTCGCTTGCGGTTAGTTCCACTCGGCTTTGCTTGTGGTTAGCTTTCATTATGTGTTTTGGGCGACACTGTATTATGTCATGGCTCTGTCAATTCCATGGGGCGGATCCAGGGGTGATTCTGGTGGTTTGGTCGAACCCCCTAACTGAGATGAAAAATTGCTTAAAAAACGTATCGTTTCTGACGAGAACCTTTGTGGGAAAACATCGCTAACAAATATTTAACAATATTTCACCGAAGTGGAGGTAAATATCCACCACTTTCACCGACACTGAGGTGAATAATTGTTTAGTATATACCACACAAGCTGAATAACTAGCGGACCAAAGAGTAACTTTATTTGTGACAATATACCGACAAATGGTAGCACAAAAGAATTCGCGCGCTGGGAGGTGAATAGTACTTGGCTAATCACCTCCGAGCAAGCCAATCAGCGTGTGCGAAAAGTACCATTCACTTGTGTGGTATATACTAATATATTCTATCTTCTGAAAAGAGCTTGAAAAGAGCAAAAATAATATTGATTGACGAGAGTCCTTTCCTGGTTTTAAATGCCTCCCTTAGTCTGAACGGGTCATTGTGCAATCTATGTGCGTTGACTGTTGGGCCGGCGTTACATATCTTCGCTACACAGTGCTGACGAGCCCCAAGAAGGGCGAAACAGCTGTCCACTGTTGCGATCCNTACTTTATCGGTTCTTGTCATGTTGGTGTCTCGAAACGTTTTTCACGTAGTATCAGCCTTGCAGTCTATTGCTTAACTAATACACTCTTTATATAAGAATATTGTTTTTCCGGCCTAGACTAAATATTCTTATCTTTCCGCCGATTTTAGGCTGAAAATATTCTTGTAATTCTTGTTTTGGAGCCAAACTGCAGACAATGAACCTGATATGACACATATACTTTCTTGTTAATAAATTATATTATTAGCATAGAACTAACGGCTAGCGCTGTTTTTATCGTTTTTTGGCTAGTTTTGCCGTAGAAAGGATGAATTTTATGCCGTTTAGGTCAAAACATATCAGCCTCAGTAACTAGCCTCGGGTTTCTTCTTTAATTATTTCTTTAAATTTCACAAATTTCAGCCTCGATATTATTATAAAAATATATATTTTATGAAAAGAAAAGAGTTTAAGAAGGAAAATTTGAAAAATGTTTGTTAATGGGGTGATCTGGAATAATTATTATAGAGCTAAGCATTTAAAAAATTTGTAGTTTTACAAGTGAAATGGAGTAAGTTTGTCTCCCGGTCTCGTGGCCGATCAAGACTTACTTTGAAACGCGGAAATTGCGCTCAGGAGGGATTAAGTTCATTGACGTAAAGACGTAAAAGCACTACTGACTCTGCTGAAATAGTCGCGTCGATCTTTCCTAGACATGTCAAGAAAATATTGAAACAATTCTTTGAGCAGCACAGCAAAGAACAAAAAATACTATTAATAGTTACACCCATGGAGGGAAAGAGTTTGACCTTATAGATAATTTCACTGTCAGTGATGTTCAGTATAGTTAGTATATCGCCATGAAAAATAATTGCCGCGCACTTCGTCTCCAAAATTTAAGGACTCGCTGAGATGATTATAAAGCCGTTGATTTCCCTGCTGGAATCGGCAAGTATTCTCTATTTAAAAGGTGGCGCGCAAGTTTCACTGAATAAGCTAAGCCTAGGTTTATAGTGAAAATATGTTTTCAGATCTTCCCGCAAATTGAAGACCATTGAATGCTGCTTCATGTCAGCTATTTTTGCACTCATGCATTGTACGTTTACAGACATTTTTTTTTTGCATACTCCGTGCATTTAATAGTAGAGTTGCCACATTTTTAACAACGGGCCAATGTTCTATACTGGAGAGATTTAACGATTTTAAGATTTACGATTTTTGCAGTGCCATCTTTTGTAACTGACTTTGACGGTTGTCAAGAAGAACAAAATTGTATACACATTTGGAGTTTGTGAGCCAATCAGAAAGCTGGAAATGCAATAAGTCGCCGAGGCGTAGTCCTTATCCGTCAAATCAGGAGCCATAATCGATTATGGCTCCTGGTCAAATCTAATAAACTTTTCGTCGCATTTGATTATCGCTTTTTTTATAACATAAATGATAATGATAATGATCATGTAATTTATGGCCAATTCAAAGAATTCAAAACCGTATGTACTCGAATAACCGCTAGGCCAAAAAAGCCTTGATGAAAGCGGCTTTCACACGGCAAACTCAAGTTTGCAAACTCGTGTTAGCAAACTTCAAAAAGTTGGCAAACTTGTTCCTGCACACGTCAAACTCGAGTCAAATCACAACACACGATAATTTGCAACATGGCCGACTTATTTAGTGCAGTGGCACTCACGTAGAACAGTAAAACAGAAGAAGAGAAGACAAGAACGGTTGAGAAATAGAAAGGTTTGGGCGAAACCCATTTTGTCCGCTAGCTCCTCCATTTTCTTTTGTTTGTTTTAGTATCTTTGTAGGCTACAGACGAAACGTCCCACACAGCCGGACAATTGTGAACCTCTTCGATAAATTAAAAGTGGCCTCACTTTCATCTTGACTTGCGTCCGCCATTTTACGAAGTGTCACGAAAGAAAATCACGTGAGTAGAGCGCGTGTTTTGGTTGGTTGACAGTTACCAACACACGTTTGCCAATCGTTCACGCGTCATACGAATTTACCAACACGAAAAAGTTGGTGAAAAAGTTGGCGAGAATAGAGGCAAGTCCTATTTCTCGCCAACTGTTTGCCAACGTGTTTACCGACTGTTTTTGTGCCGTTCACACACCGACTTGAGTTTGCCAACACGAGTTTGCCAACTTAATTTGCCGTGCGAAGGCCGCTTAAGATCTTCTTATCAAATGTCAGGTTCATCGGTGCCCGCGCTTAATTCTGGTTTCCGAGTAAAGCGAGATCAGTGCTAGTCTGTCGCAAGTGCTTGACTCCCAACATTTGTACTCCAGGGTGGTGAGGGGCACTGTGAAAGTAAACGTTACAACAAGCCCGGCGAAGACTCTAGCCCTGAATCTTTCGATCTGGATTCTCCACGAGTAACCATAAGGCCAAGACGCTTCCGGTACGTCTTTACTTATTTGTAAAACTCACAGACCGGCACAGAATAAGTCACGAAATGTGCTCCTTTGTAAATGAAAAAATCCTACCATTTTTACAGAATTCAATCATGAAAGTGAAGGATAGTGCATGGCAAAAATATAAATACATACAAAATTGTCTAATCATTTGATATCAAGGAAATGCGTGGGAATAATTACGTCACAGCCGGACAGATATCACATATCGCAGGTTCTAAAGAAATGTACACAATAAGCCCAAGGTTAATATATTCCAGTTACATATTCCTATTAGATACCTTTCTTTTTTTTCCATTTGAAACCGACTCGACGTAATTCATGGGTGGAAAACCACTGCATGTGGAAGGGTGTACGTGCTCCATGTATGACATCCGCGTGCTTGAGGCATATGTTTTCTGCAGCGCGCCCACTCGATGGGCTCGATTTCCTTAACAACCGGCACCGGAGCATCTATTAAAACGCCAACCCATTTCAACATCGACCCATCAGAATCTCTTATATAATGTTGGATACGAGGTGATAAATTATACATACATACATACATACAAACAAACTTTATTGATGCTCCCTAAGTGGGTTTTTCATCTCAATGCAACTACAATTACAAATTTAAATTTAAATTACTTAAGAAAATAAGGACAATGATATTATAATTAAAAAAATGTATGTCTTTTTCTTTGAAGTCTGAACGCAGAGGTTCCCTTGCTCCCGATCGACCGGTGGCTCATAGAATCTTAATCAAACTTCAACTTACAGGTAAGTCTCGTTTAATTTTTCAATTATCACCTCCTATCCAGCAAGGGTGAATGGAATGACCGTTTTATTTGATCGACTGGATGATGTGGACATTTCAGTAAGATCTAAATGAAGCAATGGTATAAAAAGGCAGGACAATCTGCCGCGCGTTGTTCACTCAGTTTTGAGTTACCTTGAACAAAGCTTTCAGGAAAGCGAGCGAGACAGAGTCTTCTTCCGAAACTTCGCATAATCTCTTTCAAAGTTGGTTACATTCTGGAAAATCGTTGCAAACGACAAATCGTTTATGGTCTAATTGTGGAAAGATCCGAAGTAGTGGCGTTGCTGAAAATTATACGCCTTGATCAAGTCAAAGTTGTTCAC